AGTTGAACTCGAAACTGATCCGAGTTCAAACGGGTCAACTGTAAAACCCTTAAAAAGCTGATTTTTGTGAGTGCTGTTAGTCCGGACGAACTGGCCTTAGTACAGGACGAACTGAAGAAATCTGTCATTTTCGTCTGTACAGACCTGGAACAGTCGGGACGAACCGTCGGGACGAACAGAACCCGAGAGTTTCGTCCCGGGACGACGAAATTGGCATTTAATTTCGTCTGGACGATCTGGTTCACGATCTGTGTCCAGAGGAGTTCGTCCCGGGACGAATTTGGATCGTCCGGGACGATCCTGCTTGATAAGTATCGGATTTGAGATATTTTAAATTCATCTGGAGGAGAGAGAAAGAGAAGGCAGGAGAGAGAAAGAGAAGGAAAGTAAGGAAAAAAGCTTGGTTTTGGAGCCCGCGGAGCACTTTTCGTCCGACGACGCAGTTGGAAGATTTGTTTGTCTCGCACTAAGGAATCTGAATCCTATTTCTGTTTTCGAAGATTTTGAGTTATGATAATTCTGTGCTCAGTTTTGTGTTTCCGTTATCGAAAAACGCGCATAAGTTTGTATTGACGAAAGTTTTACCGCACAACTTTTTGATATGTTTATGATATGATATTTTTACACGATTTGAGTATTTTCTGTAAAGTTTCTACTGGATATTTTAAGTTCTGTGCGATTTTTATCGAATAGAAAATTTTCAGGATGTTGAAAATTGTAAGCGGCCTCAACAGGCGTGGGCGACGGGCTGGCAGGCGCGGGCGGCCTCGGCAAGCATGCGGGCGGTGGGCTGGCAGACTCGGTCGCGCAAAAGAGTGTGCGGGCAGGGCACAGGTTCGTGCAGGAAGCCAGGGCAAGTTTGCAGGCAACTGCTTTAAATGGGATAGTGGGTTGACCCGGCAACCCTACGAGTCATCCCGAACACGACCCGTTTTGAAATCAGGTCGATTCAAACCTGAAATTTCCAGGTTAGGTTTTCGTGTCGTGTCAAATATTGACACGCCTATGAGAAATACAATCAATAAATAATAAAGCATCTTCTAATCATGAAAAATGAAGACAAGTTTTTATTTGCAAAATCTTTACTGTGTAACTTTTTTTAAGTCATAGAGTCAATGATTAGGACATTTAGGTATTTTTCGGAGAATTTACACCTAGGTTTTTGAGATGTGCGCCTTTTTTTACAATTTAAAAAATAATTTAGAACTTGAAAAATAATGATGTGGTATAATTAAAGTCTTGAACCATTATTATGTTGTCTACCATTATAGCACTATTTAAAATTCTGAAATAAGCTTATTTATGCTTTGATTTTTGTAATGTAATCCTAGGTTTTTGAGATGTGCGCCTTTTTTACTATTTAAAAAATAATTTAGAACTTTAAAAATAATGATGTGGTACAATTAAAGTCTTGAACCATTATTCTGCTGTATATTATGCTGTCTACCACTATAACACTATTTAAAATTCTGAAATAAGCTTATTTATGCTTTGATTTTTGTAATGTAATGAATTATGTGATTATGAGATTGCATTGAGTGATTTTGAGAAAGATTTTTTGTGCGTTGGAAGTTCTAACAACTATAAGCATGATTTGATTCATTACAGTGATTATTATGAAATGCTTTTAAAACTCAGCTGTACATTTAATAAATGAGATGGTTTGAAAGTGTAGATTGATAAATGTGGTCTATTAAGATGTGTTAGCTCATCATTTTTTCATCTTCTAGTTTCATGGTCTGGTAAAGGAAAATGGCCAGTTGGGTAGTAGTGTCAGGATCTGATATGAGTTTGTTGAGGTATTTTTTTTCTTTTGATTTGTATACATTCATAGCTAGTTTGTATTGCTCTATTATGTAGCCTAGTCAGCAGTCATGCATGTACTGTATTTTTTATAATACATAAAAAGATGATTTTTTTTTATGGATTAGTTTATTTTCAGTTGTTAGTGATGACCATGTATTTATTATAATTTCATCTTCTAGATATGTTAGCAGCTTTGTGTTTATTATTGTTTCAAAGTTTAAATATGGATGAAAAATCTAAATAATTTATAAAACTTTAATTTTGGGATTTGCTTGTCACTAGCCAACACGATAGGATTGTCCATCCTATGGGTCTTATCAAGTTGGGTTGTAACAGTTTATCCACTATTTCAGGTGTTTTCATCTGTTAGTTTTGAGTGGAATTTGATTATATCGATCAATTAGGTTGTATTATTTTCTCAAACTTAAATACCATCAATTGAGCCCATGGGGTGTTGTGCGTGGGCAACACACCACAAGCGTCGCAGTGTTGTATGCTAAAGCACCGCAGCACTTCAAGCTTGGGCTGGGGATACAGAGTGGAGTGATATGGCATCCAAACCCCGATGTAACGACAATATAAGTTAACTTGGGCCATTTTTCTTCCCTCTTTAATTTTTTTTCTTATTTCACTTGAAGGATTGTGTCCATCTGTGTATTGAAAAGCCTCTCTTAATCTATTATGTGTTTAGAATGAAGAGATAAGTAAAGAGAGATAAGAAGAATGTATGAGAGAAGAGATCTATACAATTTCTCTTAATTTTTCATAGTGGATTTCTTGGTATTGTGGACCTTGTGGTGTTGTGGCTCTCTAGTTTTTTTCCAATTTCAAAAATTTCCATGTTAAATTCTATTGTTCCTTTCCACAGTTTTTGTTTATTGTTTGTTTCGTAGCAAGGTTTACATCCCAACATGATCCTTGTGAAACTTTCAATATATTTTTCCATAAAATCAAACTAGTAGTTTTTTTAATTTATGCTACTATGATGCAAATAAAATCATAACCCTAAAAGATTTATCTATATTGGTTTTCGAAAAAATAATAGTTATTATTCCCCTCTCTTATATTCAACCAGTTGTAGGCTTCATTTAGGATTACTTTTTTACTACTTAAATAGCTTTTTATGAAAAAAATTTTAATTTTTTACTAAAAAATTGTTTTAAAAAGTAATTAGAAAACTGTCCCAAATGAAGTCTTAATTATGCACAATTTTATAATTTAGGGGAAAAAACCAAACATAGGGGTAGGCTAAAATAAAAAAATAAGCCTGAGTTTTTGTGGGAAATGTAAAAGAAAAATATACAAATTACAAATCCGGTGCACATAACCACTTATAACCTGAGTTTTTTGTGTTCATTCTCTATTTTAAGAAAGTCCTAAAAAATTATTATATATTTACAAATAATAATAATAATAATTGTAAAAATCCACAGTCATTATTCTAGCTTGAGCAAAGAAACCGGCGCATGTTAATCGCACCAAGTTTACACGGAGCAGCAATAACCTAATCTCCCTCCTAATTATTATTATGACTATTAATAATAATAATTATTATTATTATTAAAACAAAAGGTTTTTGTTAGGTTTGACGTTAGAAATTTCATATTATTCCAAGAAGAGTCCTCTAATATGACATTGGTCGATTGTTTTAAAATGATTTAGAAGTCCGATATTGATTTTTTAAAAGATAATTTAACGTATTTTTTTATCAGAGATTAATAAAAAAGTAAATAATTTAATTTGATAAACACTGCATATATATAATAAAATAATGAAATAGTCAATGAAAATAATAAAATAAAATTTTCTCAGCCCGCCCGTTCAGCAGTTGGTAGGAGATCCGGCTCCTTAGTTCAAGCACGTGTGTATTTTACGTTAAATCATTCACTAAAAAAAAAGTTTCAACTTTCAATTTAATTTCCACAATTATGTGATTTTTTAATTATCTGAATAAAACTTCGCGTGTCATGATTCAGCTCATCAGGTTCGTTCGTCTGGTAATCGTGTCGTTTTAGTTCAAGCTTGTAGAAGCTTTTGTCTTATATACTGACTTGTTTATGATTCCATTATACGAATATTGACTGATTAATCATAGCTCTGTCAAACCGTATATCTTCATCATGAATATCTGATTTTGATAATTAAGATTTTGAGCAAGTCGTAGTTGTAATAATTTAATAAAATGTTATATATATTTTTTTTTTCAAAATATCATTCAAAGCATTTTTTGATCTTATTTTTTATGGCTTCGTTTGGAAAGGTTTTTTTTATTGCTTTTTAAAATGGAATTTTAGTACAAATTTTTTTATTTTTTATTAAAACTCCATTTTAGAAAACAATAAAAAAGTCGTCCCAAACGAAGCTTACATGTTCATTAGATTTTTCAAGAATATTTCTGACTAAAGATTAATACATATTTGTCAATAAGAAAATGTGATAAAAATTTTAGCCACACAAGCAAAATAATTACATTTCAGGAAAATTTTATTATTATTATTAGGTCAAAAGCACAGCTAATAAATGTTTGGTAAAATTAAATAATTTGATTAATTTTGAGAGAATTTAAATATAAAAAATCTTGATACAAAATTGATCATATGATCTGAAATTTTGAGACTAGTAAAATATATATGTAATTAAAATTATATAAGACTTTGAATATATACATTTTAATATTTCCTATAAATAAATAAATTAAACACGCAAAATTGTGACTCATTTATTTAAGGAGTTGCTAGCGCAAAAATAATTCATTTGCAGCAATTAGAGCTCCGGCCGGTGATGACCGGCCGGAATCTGGTGGCCGCCGGCGAGGTTAGGTTCATCTGAACCGTAGAAACCAGAGACAAGAAGCTTATTATAAGAGTTTGGATATAATTACTCTAATTAATTAAGCTAATTAGAAATTAATATATGAGAGTAGAACCCGGAAAGTACGGCAATAAGCTCGGCCTGTGACGCAAGCCTACAGCATGTCTCACTTTCACACGTTGAAAACCTAATAAAAAAAATCTTTTTTTTCTTTTTTTCTTAAAATAAAAGTCTAATTTTCTTCCTCCTCCATTGATGTTGATTTACGAAGGTCTTGACTTTAATTAATGTTATGTATTTCTTAGAAGAGAGAAAAGAAGATAGCTAATCTATTAAGTCAACTGTTACAGGTTAATTATCTTTATAAGGAAGAAGAAGGAAGGCCTGAGAAAGCAGATTAATTAGAGATAAGAGAGAAATTAAAAGAGAAGTGAGAGCTTAATTAGCTCGCAAGAAGCTTGCAAGTAGCAATGGAGGCTGTGAAGAAGAGGCCTCTAGCAGCCAAGGAACCGAGGAATGAAGTTGATGGAGGAGGAGAAGCTGATCAGGAGAGATTTATCAAGGTCTGTTAATTATTTTGTGATATATAAATATTCACCTGCCACTTCCTCTTTTTCAAGATCTTTTTAGTCTTAATTCTGCAAGAAAATATTTTTGATCAAAATATTCTAATTATTTTTTGATCGAGAGTAATCTAAAAACCATTAGATCTGCTTTGAAATAAGAGTAAGATATGAGAAATCAAGAAAAATTTTAATTTCACTCAGTCCATCATCCGATAATACTCATCAAGAAAAAAAAATTATCAGAATATTTTGATTAATTTTTTTTCAAATTATTTTTTAGATTATAAATCAAGAGTGCCGGTGGTTGTAATTTTGATGAATTTATTGAGTGTAAATTACTAGTTTTGAAGAAGGGGAAAAAAAGATGACGGCTTGTAGATATAGAAAATAATTATTTACGATATATATAGGAGTAAAGTCTATGAGAATTTAGTTTAATCCATAAAAATATGTCAGTATGAAATACTTAGTAATTGAAAAAAAAAATTAGGCTTAATTTGATTTAAAATTAAATCTGCTCATTCACAAATCAAATCGGATAATTTTTTAGCGAGTTTCCCCTGCAGATCCCCTTATTCTTATATAATTACATATCTAATGTCTAAATTTTAATATTTATTTATATAACATTTTAGCATCACAATTACATCAAAATATGTGCTTGAAAATGTAAGTTCAATATAGAATAATTAATAATTGTAATATTTTTATGCAATTTAAATATTTGAATATTATTTAAATAATTATTAAATTTTAGATATTTGATGTATAAATAGATCAGAACTATATGTGTGGTATGTATATAAATCCCACAGATTTTTAGTGTTAATTATATTATTTGTGTGATGTACGTGTTGAAGGTAAATCAATGATGAGAGTAATTAATAATGATGAAAAAAGTACAAAAATTAATTGTAATTAAAAAAAATATTATTTTGAAAATAAAACTAATTCATTAATGATTCTTGAAGTTTATCATGATAAAAAATATATGCTATTCATGTTTTCCTTGATATGCTTGAAGGTAATTAATGGCTGGGATTCCCAACACCTTAAAGAAAAAAATTTATATATATTCTGATTGCTATGATCATGTCTGTAATTAGTTGAATCTAATTAACTAATCTTTCTTAATGCAAAAATATCACTAAAATCATAGGGTTATAAAAATAATCATGCATTAATCACCATTGACATTCATTAATTATAAAGATAATTAAATACGTTAAGACTGCCTCTTTATCGATCTAAAGGATAAAATTTTCAATCTTTATATTCATCATATATAAAGTTTTGTCTTATGCATTAAAAGAGATAGGATAAAGAATAATATACTTTGTACTCTTGTTTAAATGATAAAAAAAGTCTTAAAAATTAATTTTCTTTATTATTTATTTATTTTTATTGATTTGAATTAGATCTCTCTTAATTTAATTTTCTTTATATTTTATTTAAGACTTCCTTTATTTTTTATTTTTCAGCTAAAGAAATTTTTTTTTTTTCAGATACCAAATTAATTTCTTTGATCATACTTTGGTGTTTTGAAAGTGAAATTTATTTAATAAATGTAGGTATCACCAGCAAGAACAGGTGAAAGGTCATCTACCAACACTGCATCCAGGCCATCTTCAAACTCAAAAGATTCACCCACAATCAGCCAGGTTAGATCTATTGACTGCCTTCTCACTACGAAACTTTTGCTATTAGTTTATCATTTTGTATTATACTAATCGAACAAAAATCATATATTCACAGGAAGATCAAATACAGTCTACAAAAGCAGAAATAGGAGAGGTTAAAGAAGAGAATGAAAGGCTGAAGAATTTACTATCACAAATTGTGAAAGATTACCAGTCTCTTCAGATGCACTTCTTTGACATAGTGAAGCAAGAACAACCAAACTTAGTTACTAAGCCAACAGATGAGCTGACAGCCATTAAAACTCATGAAGCAGAAGAAACTGAACTTGTTTCTCTCAGACTTGGAAGTAACTCAGTTACTACTGATCACAAGAAGCAGCTTGAAGAGAAGTTGATCAATACAAGTTCTAAGAGTAAAGAAAATGGTCATATAGAAGAAGGCTTGACTTTAGGCTTAGATTGCAAGTTTGAAGGTTATACTAATAAGAATAATAGTGAATGTAAAGAAGTAGCATCTAACCCTAGTTCTGATAATAGTATTGATGAGATGAAAGAAGAAGAAGCTGTTGAGCCATGTCCACCAAATAAAATGTTGAAGAATTTGAGAACTGGAGATGATGAAGTTTTACAGCAAACACATGTCAAGAAAGCGAGGGTATCTGTGAGAGTGAGATGCCAAACTCCAACGGTAAGTGGATATTTATATATCATATATACAATTTGTATGTTGAAATATTATATATTTTTGCATTTTTTTTCCTTTTATATTATATTTTTTTTTTAACAATTAACTGCGGATTGCATGAATTATTTTGCATGATATTTAGTTTAATTTGTTGTGAATTTTTCAATGAAGAATTTTGTACTGATAATATAAAGTATACATGAATTGCAGATGAATGATGGATGTCAATGGAGGAAGTATGGGCAGAAGATTGCAAAGGGGAATCCATGCCCTAGAGCTTATTATCGATGCACAGTTGCACCAGCTTGTCCTGTGAGGAAGCAGGTATGTATGTATATAAAGAGAGAGAGAAATAGAGAGACTCATCACATTTCAAATTTATTTGGAATAATTAATTAGAGGCCCAAAGTTCGTGCATGCAGTTGCACAAATATCATCAACAACCCATGATTCTATCTATGTCATTTGAAATGTTCTTATTTTGAAATCATAATTATTGTTGTTGAAGAATCAAAAGGGATAAATGTTAGGCCAATATATCAGTGATTAAATTTGTCTTTAATCAAAAAATTTTAAATTTATAAATGTACAGTAACCACTTGCTTATGAATGGTTGAAGTGTAGGAATGCATTGGGCTTGTTATGTGATAGAAAAGTCGCGCTCAAATTTAAGGCGAAAATTCTATAAGATGGTAACAACACCTGCAATGCTTTCTGGTGCATAATGTTGGTCATTAAAAGTTAAATATAATATTAAGAGTGTTGCAGATATAAATATGCTCAGATGGATATGAGTGGCTTTACTCTTAAAGACATCATACAAAATGAGCATATGAGTGAAAAGGTTAGAGTAGCTCCAGTGGAAGTTTCCTTGGATGATTTGGTCAGATAAAATGGTGGGCTTCCCCTGGTTAGGAAAGTAGATATATTAGATTTGACTTATGTTAAGAAAGGTAGAGATATACTTAAAAAGACTTGGATACAATGGAGAAAAATGATTCATGTTGCCGACCCCACATAGTTGGGTGAAAGCTTGTTTTTATTATAATTATTGTTGTAGTAGCGAAACCACTTAGTACTTCTAAGTACTTCAATATTTATATTTTTTCAACTATCATGATTTGGGCTCTAAGTAACTTGTACATTGTTTTCATTTATTTCGGAAGATAAATTTGTATGATTGTAGACCTGCTTTCCAAGAAAGAGAGTGAGCAGCTAGAATTATTTTTGTTGTGATCTATTTATAGCCAGCTAAGTTTTCAATACTTGTAATTAATTATATCATGTAAATTGCTAAGGTTGAACCATAAATTCTTGCCTCCATATGTACTTATTAATCCGTGTTAGTTTCCATTTAAATTTTGTCTTTATATTTTACGAGGTGATTGTGCATGATAACTTAATAATAACCCACCTTTTTGCAGGTGCAAAGATGTGCTGACGACATGTCAATTTTAATTACAACTTATGAAGGAAATCACAATCACCCTCTTCCAATGTCAGCCACTGCCATGGCCTCAACCACCTCTGCCGCCGCGTCAATGTTAATGACCGGCTCCTCTACCACCCATTCATCCGGCATTCCAGACGCCTTCCCTTCCTCCGCTTCTCCCATCATCACCGGCGTAAATTCCGGCCTTCATAATCTAAACTTCAGTCTATCAAACAACACAAGAACAACACCTTTCTATCTTCCCAACACCACAATCTCTCCTTCTCCTTCTTACTCCACAATCACCCTCGACCTCACTGCTCCGCCTTCTTCAACCGCCCAAACCTCTCAATTCAATAGGTTCTCTTCAAGTTCTAGTTCAAGCTCAAGCTTTAGCATCTCTATGCCATCTTCTTGGAGTAGTAGATCCGGCTACATGAGTTGTGCAGCTCATGATCAATCCTACAAGCCAAATTATCCTCACGACTCTTTCTACCAATCTTATATGCAGAATCCAACTTCCATGGCATCTATGAATCAAAATTTTTTTACTGACTCAATTGCGAAGGCAATCACGTCAGATCCGAGCTTCCAATCGGCGCTACAAGCTGCAATTACAACTTATGTTGGAGCAAGTGGAAGCCAAAGCGGTCAAGTTCTTCACCATGCACAGAGTTATGCTGGTAATGAGTATAGTACAGCATCCGGTCTGTTCACAACAAGTGTTCCATCTAGCTCTAGTGCTCAACAAGGGAACTTAATGGCTATGTCGAGCTCCAAGAGTACAGCATCTGCATCACCAGTGGATCATATTAGTTGGGAAAACATGAAGTGAAGCTTAATTGGAGTTACATATGCAGATCAAAACATTTAATTGAAATTTTATCTTAATTACCTTATGAACAAGATGGAAGTGGAGGATGGTGTAGATATTGAAACTAATGAATGTCATTTAGCAAAACTTTTTCTTGTCTCTTAGATATTCATTAAATATGAAATCACTCAAGTTTAATTACCTTTAATATCTCATCTTCAACATATATTCTATTCCCATAACAATTTGTAAATTTTAATTTTAATCATTAATGTTTTTTCCGTTACATGGTCCTTATTTTTTTTTTCTCTTTCGCAATTTTTTTTAATAATCTATGCATGCTCTCAATAATTCCTTTTTTTGGTATAATTGATCCAATTATCTTAGTTAGCACAAGCATGTAAGTAACCTTTGAATATGTTTCAGTAATATTAGTTATTTATGTACTATTATTTATTTTGATAATCAAGATTAAGGCCTCTTCTTCAAAATTTTATTACGTTGCTATAGCTTTTCACTTGGTTTATAAAATTTTCATCTAGTTTTTCATCTCTCATTTTAAATACCTTTTGTAAGTATTTAAATCCCTCTAATTAAAATTATAATAGCCAATGGTGCAATTAATGTGGGCTCCGAAAATTTGTCCCCGGCCTCCGCCCGCTGTTGTTTCGCTTTTTCCTTTTGGCAAGTGAGTTTTAACGGAGTTAAGTTCTAGGGTAAATTTTGGAAGGCAGATGGGTTTGTAGATAAGACACTACCCAGAGATTTCCCCCTCATTTTGTGAGGATTTTATGATCTGAGTTCTGGTTTCCTATAAGCGCAAGCCCCTATAGTTAATTACCCCTCTCGATCACAAGAGAGAACTTTCGATTAAGGCTAATCATCAATCAGATACATAGATAATACATGTATCTAGCATATAGTAGCAGCATTGGGTATTGAGATTTGAGGTGTTTAGAGGTTTGAAAATTTTGGAATTTGAATGATTGATATTTGGAAATTTAAAGGTTTTGATATTTAAAATAGAAATTTTACCACCTTTCACTTAAAGCGGATGGTAGGGGAATGATTGATGGACCCGATCAAGATCCCATGATTTCGTCGTCCCGGGCCATCGTAGTACCTGGTCTACTTAGTCAGAGGAGGTAGTCGACCCAACCTAACAGAAGGATCCTTGTCGGCAACCATGGGTTGCTTCGTCCAAGGATACCTTGTGGGCCTGGGATGAATGTTTGTCTAAAGGAACAAATTTGAATCCACCTTAGCTAACAGAGAGCTTTATGTCCTATCGATCATATCCTATTGATTCATATCTCAAGGATTTGATGCCACAAAGGAGCGTATTGGCTCTGACCATAATCGGTATTTCGTGGTGTCATTTGGCGGCAAAATCACCCAGTTCAAAAAAACCCAGGTCAAAACTGTTTATCTTGCGGTGCCATTTGGCTGCAAAACCGCCGATTAGAGGACATGTATCACATCCTTATTGACAGGAGATTGTTTGAGAATGGATTCTAGTGATAATTTTTACTAGGCATTAGCTCTTTGTGAGCTGAAGTACATTTCAATTTGTCCACCTCGACAAACTGTTGGGGAAGGTGGATGAATTTTTGCTTTAAGTGTTAATGGATTAATTTCAATTTTAAACATTATTAGGATTTTGGGATTTTGGGATTTTGAGATTTTTTAGATTTTTGTGGGTATTTGGGATATGTTTTCAAAATATTTGTTAACCTCTCCGGTTAAGATAAATATTCAACATGGTCATCATCAGAGTGTTTGGGATTATTTCCATTTATGGATTGAACCTTGTCGATTCCATCGAGTTATTGACAAAGGATTGGGTTTCGTAGGCTTTGTACCTCTATTAGTGAATTCTCTTGATTATTGGCCTTAAAAGACTAATATGAATATATCAAAACAACTACACCGGTTGCCACAACCATGTATTTATTTGATAGTTCGAACCATGTAGACTCCTATTGATCCGTATAAAAGGATCGGGTTCAAACTTGAATTCACTTATCAACCCGCGCAGCATCCCTATACGTCATGTGTGTACTAATAACATGTTTGTCGTGGCCCATGCGGGTGTTTGGGGGCATTTTATAGTTGTTTGTTGAACCTTATCGACTTCTATTACTTAGGAGGATCATGTTCGAATTTATTAACCCGCGCAGCATCCCTAGACGTCACGTGTGTACCAATAACACGCTCGTCGGGGCCCATGCGGGTTTTAATTATATTTATCCCTTTAGTGTACCTATGTGTATACAAATTACGGTGCATGTGCGGGGGCTTTTACTTGAATACACTTATATATATCGTTGTTACTCTTTGTATATGTCAAATCCTTCTAGTTACAATTGATATGTTGAATGTGAAATGGGTCTTTGACAATGTCGTTGAACCCTCCAGCTTATAGGATATTGATGTGTTTTTATGGAATTGAGTCGTGATGATGGAAATGTTATCACTCTCCTTTCATTCCTGCCTTTTGACAAAGTAATCTGATGCGTGTTGTATTTGTTGCAAATCCACCACTATTATTAACAAGTAGATGAATGAGCTTATTTATGAACTGAGGTTGACTACTGAATGGGTTGCATTCATTATTGATGGTGTGTTGACATTCAACATTCGTAGGCGACTATGGTGTTCCTTTTCGAGTTAAGTGTCATTGACTGTTTGTAGTCAAACTGTATGTCCCTTCTTAATTTTCATTGTCTGAAAGGTTGGATGCTTTCATTTGTGCCTTGATGTTGATCGTCTTTGTTGGTAAGGGTACAGTGCATTTGTTTACAAGTTAAAAATTGCCCATATGAGGAATTATTATATCTATCATATGCTTCCACCCATGTTCGTAGTGAATCCACTGCATTCATAATCGTCTATTAGTTGTTGTCCCTTTCATGTGAGGAGTCTCTTATTTATTCATTGCTACTCATATATGGATTCATATGTCGGTATCGCCAATCATTAGTTAAAACTTTTATATTGTTGATTGCGAACATATCATGTCCCAAGTTCTTGATCGTGTATAGGCACTTGCATTTTTGCACATATATGTTGTTCTTTGTAAGCAAATGAACATTTGAGCTAACATGGCAATTCTCTAATGTTGATTAAAATCTTGCATCATTGATTTCAATCGTGTGGTTGTGCTTTCGTCTGACTATTCCTATTGAGCGAAAGATGCTATGGATTACAAACCTCTCATTGTCTTTGGACACAGCTTGTAGTTTGCAAGGGACTTATATGTGAATGATAGTTTCATTGTGCACCTTATGCTGATTGCTTGGCACCAATCATCTTCAATTTCTTAAGAGCATGATAGAGATACATTACTTCTACTCATAGCATACCTCATTTTGGTTCAATTAATTGCTCTTTAGGAGTGAGTTATACCTCATATTGCAAATCAACTATGATGCTCCAAAGTTCTCATATGATGGCTTTGTAACTAAGCCATACCCTTTCATCATTTCTCTTTTTTTTTTTTTGTGTTCATCAACATCTCCAATTCAATTGAGATGACAATTGCAAGTTCTTTATTTATCATAAGTTTTGCATGTGTTTTCTTGCACTTAATCTTGTAGGATGCTTGTATTTTTAATACAAACTTTGTGAGTGATCCCTATATGACTTATGATGTTTATTCATGTTCTCACTTAGGATCAAACCATGCATCATTTCAATTAACATTAAAGATTCATTCAACATAAGCTCTATGCTTTGTATATCCAAAATTCATCAATTTTATGAGTTGGAGATTTTAACTTTAGGCTTTAGGTTCTATTCTTCATCATCCATTCAAGTCAAGGTGCTTTGCACTTAGCTCATTTAAATTCAAATTCTTCATTGATTATTTCATTTATGCTCAAATTCATCATATGTTCAATGTCATTTGATTAAAGCTCATTTGAGCCCAAGATGATTTCTTTTTTTTATCCAAAAATTAATGTTTGAATTTAAGTTTGAGCTCATTTTGTTTAGATTCAAGTATCTTATTAATCATTTAAGTTTGGAATATGTTTCATGCCGTCCAAAATCAAGTCCCCTGCTGTCCAAAGATGAGTCTCCTGCTGTCCAAATACGCCATGAAACAAATATATATATATATATTTGTTCTCTCTCATAAATTTGATAAAAGTATATTATCTATTAATATAAACTATTTTCGCCATGTAACTTTTGATATATGATAGTTATCATTATTCTGAATATTTTGATGGCATATATTTAAATTTTACTAACTAATTTTATGTATATATCATTGTATTTGAAATGAGTAGAGTAATAACGAATATACAAAAATCAGGATTCTATGTACTAAATCTAAACATAAAATACATGATATGCATAAAAATATTATTCATTTGGCATAACATACATATTGGTATAATACATGCATATTGATAAACACATTGATATATTTACATGCTATAACAACTAATTAGATGTGTACATGATGTTTGTTATTGTAATGTATATGCTATGACATATATGTAAAATCAAACAATGTTGGCTGAAAATAATTGATTGATTCAAGTTGACTAGAGATATATTATCTTGTACATGAGAGTAAGTTGACAGACTTTTTTTTAAATAAGATTTTTAATGTAATCCTAAAAGCTTTGAAAAAGAAGGCATAAAGAGATTTATCGATACAATATGATACTCCAACGAGCAAGATGTGAAGACTTCTTACATGAAACACACAACCTATGATTGAGAACGATATGACTAATTCTTGTTTACATGACTGATGTGATTGAGACTAATTCCAATAGGGTTGGGTCTACGTGACTTGATACAGGAAAAATACCACTAGAGGTAGAGATGCCTTGTCTTGCTTATAACATGTCATGCATACATTATAGAATTGCATGTGCATGTATAGAATATGGAATGACTTGATATATAAGGCATAAATGATATGATATCATGTGAACAATATATAAGATCAGGGGCGGATCCCAGGCAACGTGAGGGTGGGCAAATGCCCACCCTGAAAAAAAAAATTTATTTAACAGAGGGGCATTTTGGGGTTTTTGCCCCTCCTCAAAACAAATTGTTAAGCCCTAAAAGACGCTTTGCCCATCCCGCACGGCCGCACATCAGCTTGTTCGTAGGAGCGCCAGGAGGTCTTCGACACACACGACACTCCGACTCGTCGCCTTCGCAGAAAATCTCCTCTCGTTCCGTCGTTCGCAGTCGCAGGTTCGGGAATCATTCGCAAATTGCAAGGGTTGCCTCGGCTTCGCTAGTTCGCTGCCACAGCCTTCGCTAGTTCGCTGTTTCCCATCGTAAACCTCACAGTTTTTGGTTTGCCCGATTCACAGCCCCTTTCCGAGTTTCCGGCAGTATTGAAGGTAAAATCCAAGAAACTAGTTACTTCTTGCTCTATTTCTTGCTTGATTTTGTTTCTCTTTTTTTTATTTTGATTCTCTTTTTTTAATTTTCTGCATATTGAAAAATTTTTTATTTCAGTTGGTTAATTTAATTTGAATATGCAGATAATTTAATTTCAGTATGCAGATAATTTAATTTCAGTAGGTTTAGGATAACTTCAATATGCAGATAATTTAATTTCAGTATGCAGATAATTTAATTTCAGTAGGTTTAGGTAACTTCAATATGCAGATAATTTAATTTGAATATGCAGATAATTTAATTTCAGTAGGTTTAGGGTAACTTCAATATGCAGATAATTTAATTTCAGTATGCAGATAATTTAATTTCAGTAGGTTACCAATATGCAGATAATCTTTACTTAGCCATCTTCAAGCTTTGATTATGCGTTTGATGTTTAGTATTTTTACCAATTTTTATGGTTGTTAATCGAAGACGATATCAACCTACTTATTGTTTTTTGTATTTACATTTCAGTAGGTTAATTTAATTTTTATTATGCTTAGTTATTCGTTCATGGATCGATATTTGAAAAGGAAGGAACGTGTTGAGGTCGACATTGATAATCTTCCTATTGATCCTGGGCTTCGACCTTCTATATGGAATTATGATGTGAATGATAGG